CTCGACCCTTACATGAAATGGTGCTAGGCCTCACTCATGAACCTCTTCTCAAACCTGTTACCAACCCTTTTCAAAGGTTCCAACAGGCTCTCCCTAAGGTCCCAGCATTACACCTCCCTGACCTGACTTGTTGGGTTTTCCTCTATGTAAATAAAAAACAGGGATTTGCCCTTGGAGTCCTAGGTCACCAACTGGGACCATCTTTTGCACCTGTAGCATACCTGTCAAAAAAAAAAAAAAAAACTAGATCTAACCACCCTGGGATGGGCACCTTGTATTCATAGCATTAGCAGCTGCTGAACTCTTATGTCAGAAAAACTAACATTTGGGTCACCTATAACTCTCTTCTCTTCTCATAACCTGTCACAGCTCCTAACATACAAAGGCTTACAGACTCTACTTCCCTCCAAGGTTCTTTCTCTTCAGATAGCACTAATAGAAGATTCCATACCCACCTTCCAAGCATGCCTGCCTTTTAATATGTCCAAATGTTCTTCCTCGACCAAATACTGACCACTCCCTATCTCACCCTTCCACTGAAGCCTTAGAATATTACCTCATCCTTCACATGTACAGGAGGGCCCACAGCCTCAGGCCATCTATACCTGGTATACAGATGGCAGCTCCTTTCTATATGAAGGGGCCAGAAGGGCTGGTTACGCTATAGTGTCAGACACAGAGATGGTTGAGACACAGGCCCTCCCTGCTCATACCACCAATCAATAGTCTGAACTAATAGCCTTTACCCTTGCCTTTCAACTAGCACAGGGACAATCCATATCCTCCTATCCCATGCTGCTATCTAGAATGAGCTCAGGTTACTTATGACATAAGGAGGGTCAGTAACTAATGCAAAACAAATTATGGCCATGCTAAAGTTCTCTCTTCTTCCCACAGCTACTGGAATTGTCCCCTGCAGATCCCACCAGCCAGATGACTCTATTGTCTCCAGGGGAAACAACCAACCCAATGAGGCAGCTAGAGCTGTGGCCCTTAAGGACCTGCTCAGGACACTCTTACACTGCAACCCACATCCCCACTCTCACTCCCTGACATTCATCAAACTCTGTCCTATCTTCACCAACTCTTTCATCCTAACAGCCACGCATTGTCCTACTTTGTTAAAACCCACCTACAGCCTACTCTTGAAGAATTGTTTCTTAAAATCTATCACTGCCTCTTTCCTGTCAGACTCCAACTCCAGGTATTGAAGCATCCCTTTTCCTACCCATCAGGCTAGATGTTTTCTTCCTAGAACTGACTGGCAACTTAACTTTATCCACATGCCCCCTGTCAAATGTGCCAAGTACCTCCTAGTCTTGGTGGACACCTTCTCAGGGTGGATAGAGGCATATCCCACATCTAACAAAAGGGCTCAGACACTTTCTGATCTCCTCCTCCGAGTGATCATCCCCAATTTGATGTCCCAGGCTCCCTCCAGTCAGACAATGGTCCTCAATTCACTTCCCAGATTTCTCACGCTATCTAAAGCCCTAAGCATCCCCTGGCATTTTCATATTCCCTACCACCCCCAGTCTTCTGAAAAGGTACAAAGAACTAATCACTCCCTAAAAAACACTCTTGTCAAACTGTCACAGGAACTTCACCTCAATTGGGTAAAACTCCTACCTCTGGCTCTTTTTAGGCTACAAACTCTCCCCAAGTGACCTCTCTCACCTTTTGAACTTTTATATGGATGTCTAGTCCTAACTCCTAGTCTTTCAACTAAATGCTTTCCTCTCCCTGATACTTACCCCGTTACTCCATTACTCTGCTCTCTCCTATGGAATTTTGCTGACCACCATCTACCATGGACACATGCTGCCCCCTGCCCACTAACTGTCAACATTGGAGACTAAGTTCTTCTGTCCCCTCCAGATAATCATCCCTCACCTCTTTCTCCTAAATGGCAGGGTCCTCTCAAGGACCCTGCTCTCTTAAGCTTCAGAAGATGTTGAAACCACACACTTTGTCCCCAATCTCAGAAAAATGAGACTCCACTCTGGCATGTGCACTCGACCCCACTGGATTAGACATGGGCTTCTTTCTCATCCTCCCCCTGCTATTTGTTTCCATCCAGGGTTGTCCTGTCCAGCAAGACATTAAACAGGGGTCTGGGGAGGTCACCTGAAAGAGAGTAGAGAGAAGCAGGCAAAGACGCAAGGAAGTCACGACCTGTCTATAATCTGATCAGATCGTAATTTTTACTTTTGCACACACAGGTTATACACACAAAAAGGCAAGATGTGGGGAAGGGGATGACGCAGGAGCGTGGATGTTCCGGGAGAGTACAGATATCTTCCAGAACAGAGTGTCAGCTGGGTGAAGGTTCAGGGGACAGACCACTATGACTCCACCTATGATTCACTTGTCTTTATCTAAGTTGGTACTATCCACCAAGGTTACCTATCTACAAGGCCTATGAGTAGCCAGGCGTGGCAGCCTTCCATCAAAGCTTCCTGTTTACACTAACTCCCAGCTATCTGTTTCAGTGTTTTTCCAGAGACCCAAGACTTGGTGCTAGCAGGCACATATGTCAGGCCTATTGCTGATTTTAGACCTTCAGTGTATAAGCTGGGCTGCCCCTGACACAGGGTAGCCCTTACATCTGGAGATTTGAGGTTCAAAAAATCTCCACTTATATAGGGTCAGGAAACTGCTCCATAGCTGGATGCCGGGAACCGGTCCAAATTGCTGTTATCCCTGTATCTGAAAGATCACTCCAGGGAGTGACCCAGGAAGGACGTGACCCCCAAAGACACTCCAGAGATCTCTTGCTGTAATAACATGAATCACTTCTTTATTTATCAAAGCCTCGGGTCGATGTGCCTCATGCAGGAGGCAGAGGTCATCGACCCTGAGATCTAACAGCTTAGGGTTTTTGTAGACAAAGGCTGGGGGGAGGGAGAGGGTTGTGGGTAATCACACACAATTGGTTGTTATAAATGTCTGTAATATGTGTAAGCAGATCTCAGGCAGAGGTTTGACAAATCTCATGAGAATAGTCTCTGGTCCCTGTGGCCTTGGGACCCAATGTGAATGTTTATCTGAGCCAACAGACCATCTGGCTGAATCTAATTTACAAGTCCTTAGGACTTCTGGTGGGAGTTTCTTCAGAGGAGGCTAAGTCAGACACCACCTTGGAACACTAAATTGACCATTATTTCTCTGTTCTGTATCTCCTGTGATGGCCTTGGGTTAGCAAGCTAGCTAACCTGTAATTTTAACTATTTGTATTCCTGTTATACTATTTAACTAACTTAAAATTCCTCTTTCATATCCATCATTCCATCTAAATATTATCTGTTTGCTTCCTCTTTGACCAGAAGAAAAATGATTGTAAGCCAGATGACTATAGGACTGCCCATATTGGTCTTGCCAGATACATATGTTAGAATCATGGACCAATCACTTCTTCTATCAGCAATGCAAGACCCTCTTCTATATACAAGATGACACATGGAAGCCCAGGTGGGAAACAGGAGTTGTTGGTAAGCTCTATCGTAAAAACCAAGCAGGGTGCCAGTGAGTACTATTCACATCCAGAGAAAATCTGTCTCAATTGTCCAACCTCTAGATATCAGAAAAAACAGGAATAATAATCAAACACTCCTCTCCAAGGTCCTTACCTCCTTGACATTCCCCCCCTCAAATGGCACTAATTTGTCATTTCACCTTTTGCTTTAGACACTGACCTCAGTGTACCAACTCCTTAATGTCACCCAAACTGTTCGCTTTAAAGACTGCTGGCTATGTGTATCCCCTGAAACCTACTTACAACTGCCACTTATAGCCTCTCCAGAGATACTGTCAAATAACCTTACCTTATCTTTTATCAGCTATCCGGACTCCTATGTTGCCATGACCCCATACTTTTTCTCTATCCCTCTTTTTGGTGTGGCAAACTGTTTTAAGACATCCAGGATATGTTCTGTAGGAATGCTAAGATCCCTAGATTGCAATAGAACCACAACCCTTGATACCTCATCTCTGCCACAGTGCCCTGCAGTCCAAAACCCGTCAATTCTTTGTGACACTCAGGTATATCATCACCTACCTGCCAGCTGGTCAGGAGTTTGCACATTGGTGTTCCTTTTCCCTGAAGTAGGAGTAATCCATGGAAAAGAGCCTCTACCAATCCAGGGTTTTGACACGATACATGCCCAACATGATAAGAAGGGGCAGTTCAGGTTGTGCCATTCCAGGTTGCCATGGGAGTAGTTGTAGGTGCTGGTGCTGGAACAGCAGGGCTGACTACTCCTATCCCTATACAGTAACTTCTCTTCCCAGCTTGACAATGGTTTTCAAGGAGTGTCTGAAACCATGCTCAACATCCAGAAACAAAGCGATTCTTTGGCAGCAGTGGTGCTTCAGAATTGACAGGGGAACTAGATGTCCTGACAGCTAAAGAAGGTGGTCTTTGCCTGTTTGTCCAAGAAGAATGCTGTTTCTACATCATCAAACTTGGGTTAGTAATAATTGAAATCCAGCAGCTAAAACCAGACATCCAGAATCTCAGGGAACAACGTGAGGCCTGCAATTCCTGAATTTTTGAAAACCCTATGTAGAAATGGACACTGCTCTTCTTAATGCCTCTTCTCATTTTCCTGGCATTACTATTTCCTCCCTGCCTCATTAATCTTGTTTCCACAGTCCTTCAATGACAAATTCAAAAAATTTCCAACCAAACAGTCAATCAGTTCCTTTTACAGGATTACCAGCCTCTATCCACAGAGGAGCAGCCTTATGCCAACGACTATCAAGTGGACCCTGATGTGAAAGTCAGCTACACCGCAAAACTGACAAAGCCCCTCAACAGGAGAAAGTGGGTTAAGAGATCCTACACCCTATTCCCCTTTCACCATTGGCTTCCCCTTCCCCCCCTTTCCCCTCTCTTTATGGTAAGAATAAGGGAGGTATGTTAGCATCAGAAGTGGTTTACAGCTAACCTCTGAACCCAACGATGACATCATCCTTAGGCAACAAGGGCCGGCTTGTGTCCATTGCCATGGCAACCGCCACACACTCACAGCACACGTCTCACCCACATTACCTGTGTATGGTGATGCACATTATTTATTGCTTGGCATCTACACCACAGCCTGAATAACAGAGACTCTGTCCCCTCGCCCTCTTTTTCTTCTTTTCATTAGTTCTTCTTCCATCTAATAAAAAACCCTTCTTGTGGGATTCTGCTGGCCCGGCGTGATCTGTCCAAAAAGCAACCAGCCACCTTTCAACTAACAAACTGAGTTTGTTTGCATTCAGAAAGGAGCCTGTGCTGGTTAGTGTTATGTGAACTTCACACAAGCTAGAGTCATTAAGGAAGAAGGCTTCTCAACTAACAAAATATCTTCATAAGACTGGTCTGAAGGCAAATCTGTGGTTCAATTTCTTAATAGTGATTTTTTTTTTTTTTGTGACTTGCATGGCTTGGGTCCTCAAACCTCAGTAGGGGCTATGAGGAATGAAGAGAAGGTTGACACAGAGACAAGCATTCAGTAAAATTAGAAAATGTTCTAACACCTCCCTCCCCCAACTAAGAACTTCAGCATGTTTATTAGGTATGGCTCAGAGGAAGGGCTTAGCTAGTCTCTCTGGGAGGTCTCTGAGACCTTCAAGCGGTAAACATGCTGGAGGAAGAAGCTGCAGTTGCTGTCTTGCACACCCTGATCAATCTTCTGTAAACACCCAGACTCAGACTCTCAAGGAAAGCTATACCACTTCTCTTGGGCCTGGTCCATATAAGGAGACAGCTTTGCTAAATATTCTATTTTTCAAGGTCTTTGAAATCCTTAGCATGGTCATGACTCTGTCAAAATACACATTCACTGAGGACTTACCACATTCAGTAATTCCTCTGCACCATTCAGTGATAGATGTCAAAGGGCCTAGCCAATGCAGGTGGTACCATGAACTAGGACTGGCAAAGCAATGCAGACTAAGCCACTAAACAGCAATCCTCCATGACCTCTGATTAGGTCCTGTCTCCAAGACCCCAGTTCATTGGAGTTCTGTTTTTTTTTTTTAATCTATCGGAATGACTTTATTTAAGTACACTGGGCCCCACGAGGCAACTTGGCTTATCGAGGTTGTGCAAGGTTTGGGCCAAGAGAGGTGATCTGGTTAAGCATGCTGCAGTCCATGGGTTGCCACATTGATTCCACACACACCAGCTGCGCTTTGCATCTGGCAGGGGCATAAGATGGTGGAGAAAGAATACTGTCTGGAATCTGGAACTGAGGTGAGACTTGGTATCACTGGTGAGGGTGTCGGTGAAGACAGGCTCACCCTAATTTTGTACCGAGTACAAAGATCCTTGGACCACTTCCGAGAGCAAGGCTGATCTTTGGTCTGGCCCTCATCTCTTCATTCTGACCAACCCAGAAGGGGCCTCCCTGCCCTTTGACTTGGTTTCCTGGTCAATTAGAGTGGCAAAAGGCTACATTGTCAACTGCAGGGTGCTTTGTTTTAAAGGGTCTAGATCTCCAACACACCTCCCTCCCAAGGGGCCTCTGTCAAAGAGTGATGCTACTTCCTGTCTTAGAAAATCCAACCACAAACAGCCTGTTGGTTCCAAGGCAGTGAGCAAGTGGGGTTAGGAGAAAGAAAGAGACTGGCTGGGGTGCCTTCATGTGCAGCCTCCAATCAGAGTCCTGAGGCCCATGAATACTGTCAGTTCACCATCAGCAGGGAATGACAGAGCCCTGATACTGTGGAACACCTCGGTGCTGTAAACAATTAGTGTAAGCAAGACCAGTGGGCAGGAGACAGCGAGCACTCTCTGTAGTCCCTTTACTGAACAAACATGTCAATAAATAAAACTGTGGTGACGGCACTGAAACCAGGATGTATGAGAAGCAAACAGCTGGACCTGAAGCCCACAGTCCTTACATTGTCCCACAACCTCTGCATGTGATTGGGGCTTGTAAATTAACCCTGAAGCTATCTCCTGTCCTCAAATGCCCAGTGTGGCCCTAATTCCTATCTGTTTCCCAGGTGGACATGAATGTACCCTGCTCTCTCCTGAACCCAGTCTCTAACCACTACTAGAGTGCTTTTTCAGTCTCCCAAACCCAAGACCACACAGAACTTAACCCCAGCCCCAGTTATCAGTTGATCCAGAGGTGTAGACAGCACAAAATGATGAGCAAGGGAGACAGCAGCTGCCTCTGGCCTCAGGGCACTCTGAGTGTTAGCCTTCTGTCTAAACTCTACCCCATAGTTACCTGGCAACAGCCAGGTAGGCCTGGCCCTCTGTAAAAGGGGCTGCTTGGCCCCTCCTCCCTCTCTTGCTCTCTTGATTTCTTGATTCCTCTGTCCCGTCTCCTTTCCCTTCCCCCTCTCTCCAAGTGCTCATGGCTGGCCTCTACTTCTCTTCTCGTCTCTTCTCTTCTCTCCTCCTCCTCCTCCTCTTCTTCCTCTCTCTCTCTCTCTCTCTCTCTCTCTCTCTCTCTCTCTCTCCCCCCTCCCTCCCTCTAACTTTCCCTGCCTCTACTACCCTCTTAACTCCCCTGCCCATGCCCTGAAAAACTCTATACTATACTGAGGCTGCGGATGCCTCGGCATCGGCCTGCTGAGACATCCCCTTCCCCAACACCTCACCACACACACACAGAACATATTCTCTTTATCTTTTTATAAACACATCACTGGGGTGAGGTGGGGTCAGCCTAGACTGACAGCAGCAAGGTCTCTCTATAATAGTAACTATAGTACCACACAGTCAAAGGCCTGGCTGAAAAAGGAGTGGACCTCTTCCAGAGCTCTTCCTGTAAGGGGCCAGTTAGCAGTTAACCCCAGGCCTCAGGTGTGGGTAGTTCAATGTCCTCTCTGAGCCTAGGATTTCTGAGCCACACAGCACTCAATAGTCATACTCACTCACACACACAGGCAGTTCCTCTCAAACACTCCAACTCAAGAAAGCGAATTATAAAGTGGAGTCAACATCAGAGGTGGTGATTTTGCAACATTAGAAGGCTTTCCAATGGATGGATTGGGAACTATCTTCTTCATATTCCTTCTTAGAGACCCACATCTTCTTAAAGGTGTCGAGGGAAGCAAGGATAGTCTCTCCAATCCACGCGGAATACAGTCTCTCCTGGGGTGCAGGTATCCTGATCTTCACATCTTTTAGAACTAGTTTCTTCACTTCCCTCAGTAGCCTGTCTCCAAAACCTTTGAACACGGTAGAACCTCCTGAGAGGATAATGTTGGGAAAAAGTGTACGCCGTAAATCCATTTCTGACTTCTGGATAGCAAACACCAGCACCTCATGGATACCTTCACTCTCCTCGCCAATCAGGTCTGGCCTGGAGCCTGGAAGGGCCAATCTCACTGGTGCTCCTATCAGGCAGGTAGTACTAAGCCTTCTCCGTCTCCAGTGGCTCATCCTTCCGAGGGTTTATGGACAGGTGGCGAGCTCTTTCCTTCATGGCCTTGACAATCTCAAACTCAGAGAAGGAGTGGAAATCATAGCCTTCCTTCCATAGGCACAGGCGGAGGAAGTGCGAGACATCTCGGCCAGCAATGTTGATGCGCGAAATGAAGCATGGTGAAGCCTTCATAAATCAGGACTGCACGGGTAAGGCCATCCCCAGAATCCAACACCTCGCCTGTGGTTCTGCCTGTAGCATAAAGGCTGAGCACAGCTTGCATGGAGATGAAGAGAGCTGGCACACTGACTGTCTTAAAGAAAACTTTTGCAGCTCGTTCCTGGTTTTTCCGAGGGTTTAAAGGTGCTTCAGTCAGGAGTACAGGATGCTCCTCTGAGAAAGTCTGCAGCTGGTCTTTAGAATAGACATATCGCCAGATGTGTTCCATGTCATTCCAGTCCTTGACGATGTCATGTTCCATGGGGTAGCAGACTGACATCAGCCACCAGCTCTCCTCAGTTTTGGGGCCAGTGAAGATGTCACCTTCAAGGGCTCCAGCCATGAAACGAACATGTCTTGATCTGCCCACATAGTTTGGAAAGAAGTCTTTGGGTATCAGATCACCAGCAAAACCAGCTTTAATCACCCCAGATCTGTTGTCGATCAAAACAGGCTGATTGGTAATCACATAGTAGGACTCCATGGCAGAGGAATCTTTCCCTCCAAGGAAGGAATTGCCAGCCCAGTTCTCAACAAACACCACTGACCTCATCTGAGTTCTTGTTCTGACTTTCACAGCAGTAGACTGTTAGAGGGAAATGAAAGATATCCTTTCTACTCTAAGTTGATTTTGTTCGTGTTGTTTTATCATACCAATAGAGACTCTAACTGAAACAGCTACTGTGATTGACAAGCCATTAGGACACCCCTATAAAATCCCAATCAACTCCGTTTTTGAAGAAACTCCATTTTATTCGAGACCAGGAGCTAAAATCCAATTCCAGGAAGAAAAATCAATCCTCCTGAGCAAACATGCTATGGCAACAGCCAGTCAGCTACAATTAGCAGGGTCAAGGTACAAAGAGGTAACTTAGCCATCCAGTTTGTCAGGTGATTTTTGTCCCAGTGTTCAGTTCTTGCAGATTATGCCAGAAATGCAGTTTTTAAAATATTAGCTTGCTGACCTGTATTACCCAAGCTTGCTGTAACTACAATAAATACCCTATACCCCTAAATTTGGGGCTCTTACTCTGATCCTACCCAATGAGGAATGTGAGAGACCCTGCTCACAAGCTTGTAATAAAAACTCTTAGATGTCAACATTCGAATTGGCTCCTTGGTGGTCTTTGGGGTACCTGCAACTTGGGTGTAACAACCTCAAGTCAGACATAAGGCACAAAGCTTTATCAAGTCTTAATGTCAAGATAGCATTTTATAAATTTAATACACATATTAAAATAAATGTAGCTCAATTTTCTGTCTGCTCTCTCCCTGTGTTTTTTAAGACTGACCAGATATTACTGGAGTCAGAGACCTTATGGTATTCAGCAATCCACAGTCTTTTCAGGGCCCCAACTCCAGCTGGAGCATCTACAATGCAATTTCTATATCTAAGACTAGGCAGCGTCCTGAAAGAGCAGGTAAAAAAGCTTGTAAAAACCAGAGAATTAGGAACTTTTCTTTGAGATCCTGTCTTCAGTATGACAGAAATACTTCAAACATAGAATCACAGCAATGGAATTACCCAATAAAGAATTAAAAAGTGGCCACACCAGTTAAACTGCCAGTGTGGATGGAGTAAACATCCTAAGAC